TAAGTTACCAATTTAACAAAGAACCAGACAATCAAGAATATATAAGGATAAATTTATCAAATTCAAAATACAATGTCAGAATTTATTTTGAAAATGGCCCGAAACCTAAGGTCTTAATTGTAATTAGGTGATAATATTTGTGCATTTGGCCATATGACCACTATCATGGGTCCCCTGCGTCAGTAACCCAAATGTATGTCATTGATTGATAATTACGCGAGTCCTTTCTCGAGGATATCCTTTTTGGTCTGGGTCAATCTTTGCCGACCTTTAATTTATTTTCTTGAAAGATGGACAGATATTATATATTTTTAAATTCAACCGCTTATGATATTGAATTCAAGTACTCTTTCAAAACAAGTAAAAAATGTTTATTTTTAATTACGCCATCTAGAACTTAATTTTAATTTTATTTTATTTATTGTAATTTAAAAGATGTCATTTAGCTCTTTGAATGTCCAAGTTCGATTCATTTTGCTCTTTGAAACTTGAAAGTCATCTCTATTAAACTCCAAATTCGCTCCACATTGACTTAGATATGTTATTTTCTTATGTGGGTTTGATTATGGTGCATGGGGCTAATCAATTTCTTTTTTATTTTTTCGATTTATTTTAAATTTAATATTCTCTGATTGTTGAATGTTAACTGTCACTGCCCGTCCCGAAATTTCATTTATCGTGAATGTGAAATGATAGAATTGCCCTTAACGGTTGCTAAGGTACGTGTGACATGTTATTTGAATATTGCATACTCTCCTAAATTCTTGGAAAATTTTAAGTGGATTAAAAGTTGTATACAATTTGTGTGGTTAGGGTTTAATGTGGACCACACACACTCAAACCTGCCTTCTCTCTCCCGTGGACTTCCTCTCTTTCTCCCCTCTCAGTTTCTTCTTCCCGTGCACTGTGCATGTACGGACAAAGGTGGAACTTGCCCATTTCTTCACAGATCGAGACTGAAAAGGTAAGTTTTAGAATCCTTGCAAGCTTGTGAGTTTATTGGTACCATTTTTAGAACTTAGAACCTTTGAAAACTCATGAAATCCGAACCCCCTAATTTTGAGTACTGTTCATGTGGACATAAATATGGTTGTTTTAGGGAATTTGAAGCTCATAGGAAGCTTAGTGAGGTTCTAAGGAAGCTCGGAGAAGAAGAATTGAAGGAATTGGACGTAAGGATCCCTAGTTTTTCTAATCCCCGAATTGGTCACTATTCATGAACTTTTAAACCCTTAAGTTTTTGTGAATTTTAGGAACATAGCAAGCTCAAGGAGGTTCTCACGAGCTTCGGGGTGCTTCTTTGGTAGAGTTTGGACGTCGGAGGACTGAGAACGGAGCTTTTCAAATTTGGCCGGAACTTTCGAGGCTTTTTCCGGTGAATCCCCGGCGAGTTAGGGGTCGAGGTAGGTATGGATTTGTTCATCTCGTCGAGATCTTCATTTTGATATAAAGAGCGTTGAAAATAGTGAAGAAATGAGTAAGGTATGGCGATTTGAAAATAACCCAGAAACCGGCGACTTTTCCGTTGCTGGCGAAACTAGTCCGGCAACTGGAGGTAGGGGATGACGTGCGTGGGGGCGCGTGCGGCATTGAAATTTTTTTCTAAAAATACCTCGACGTCCGTGACATCGAGTAGGTGATTGTGGTATATTCATATACCCAAATTGAGCATCGTATGAGAAGTTATTACGCATTGTTGGTCATGTGCTTTAAAATAATGTTTTTATAGTTGTTTCACATATATGTGATACCTATCCCGAGGACGAGCGCATTCAAGGGCGTCACGGGGGTTACGACTCTTCGACTTACCAGTGAGTGGGCAGTTATTTTCTGTATATACCTATATACTACTGACTTTTCCCAGAAATTGAATTCAAATGAAAGTATGTTTTAAAATGCCATGCATACATATTATATGAAATATATGAATTAGTATTTGATGCATATATGTGAAATGGTGCTGTGGACGCATAGGTAAGTATCATGTGAGTTTTATGTTGTTCATGTGATTTATTGATGATGTAAATTGTGTTGAGAGCTCATAACCTGCACCTCTGGTGTTAGTGCTTATATTATTCACCCCGCACCACATGCTCATCTTGGATCCAAGTAGGTGCATGTCGTACAGACCATTAGAGGTGGTTCCGACATGTCGTACAAACCATTAGAGGTGGTTCCGACTTGTAGGTGACTTTAGATTATTATACAGCTGTTGATTAGAGAAGCACTAGAGTGTATTCTTACACCATTCTTGTCGTACAGACTACTTCAGGTAGTTCTGATTTATGTGCAGAGTAGTGCCGTACATGTCACAGTGGTGACTCCGGTTGGGTTGGATATTGAGCTATAGAATTAACCGTACAGGACAGTTGCAGGGTCTCCGGTTGATTCATTATTTTACCTGTTATATTGATGCATCCTTATTATGTTCGAAGCATAGCATGGCATATTTCTTGAAAAGTATTAAAGACTTGTGATTTGAGTTAATTGCTGTTAGATGGTTATATAATACTATTTTTCTAGGAAAGTATACATGTTTTACAGTGAGGGGTTAGAAGTGTTGTTAAATGAAATATTTTCGAAAAGCTTTGTTTTACTGACCCACTCAATCTTGTTTTGCGCCCCCCCAGGTTCTAGTTAGCAGTGTTGGTGGCTCACGAGCATTCCCACGGTGTTTTGACAGACTACTTAAATGTAGGACTCACCTTCGGGTGTTGTAATTTAGTAATGGTCCTACTTGACTGCACTTAGTACTTATGCTCGGAATATGTGTGTTTCACACTTAAACTCACTCTAGCATGTTAGTTGGATATTATCACTAGTAGTTGGTTTTTATTCCTTCGTATTTCTTTTATCTTTTGCTTCCGCATCGCACTTTTGGTTACGTCACACTTACGTGACGGCCAGCATGCCTTGATTCTAGGATCGGGGTGTGTCATTAACGCATAATGGAGGGTTATAATCAAATTTATTGCACATATGGCATAGTTTGATTGGGTCTTGAGTCCCACATGTTCTTTAGGAGGCAACCTATAAGTTTCAGGGAGAAGAGAGTTCACAAGTTAAACTGGAAAAAATTTTAAGTTTGAGAGAGTAAAATAATGGCTTTTGAGTTACAATGAGTAAAGTGAAATCAAAATGAAATTCCAAGGACCGTAACTAAAAATAAGTCCAAAATTACTAAGAATACTCACACGAACGTCTGTTTTTAAGCGCAATGAGCGCCTAATTATTGTGAGTCATATTGAAGTCATATAGAGTCAACAATCTATATTTGCTAACAACTTAGAAACACATGTTTTCTTTGCCCACACTTCATCGGACCAAGTCACGTTTTACCCTCTTTAAAATAATAGAAGATGAGATAAACAAATTCTTGTCTGGTTTTGAATTTCAATGCACTAACATCATGCTAGTATGTGAAATAACCAGTAGTGGAGCTATGATTTTTAAATAATGAGTTCGTAATATTAACTAAAGGAATTTTATTGGACCATTTCGTTGAGCACTTACCTGCTAATCCCCGCCAACATATGTCAAAAGCTTATACTAACATATACCAACAATTCCTATTATTTGCTAAGAAAAGAAAAACAAATATGATAGAAGAAAATAAAAAATTAGGAATATAAAGTTGTAATTTAATTTATCTTAACTGTTTATGTGTTCAAATACATTACACAAACAAATATATATGAAGTTTTTGCTGGAATCAAGGACAACCAATAACTCTATAGTGGCTCTGTGACTGGAAATAACATAGGAAGGTGGTCAGGCAGTCAACCAACGTCAACCAACAACTCTCCTGCTTGGTAAATTTCTTGCAAATTAGACTTGACCGAGACTGATGTTATGTTCATGACCAAATTGACTAAAATTATGGCTCAAATGACGAAAATCTTAATTGTGATAATTTTGTGATATTTAATTTTTTTAATCAATTGGAATAGAGGATTCATTTAGTACTATTTTTAATGGTATTCGTTTTACTTGTAAGTGAAAGGTTTTAGGTTTGATTTTTGCCAAAGGTAAATTTAAAACATATTAATGCTAACTTATTTTGAGGCTAGGCTTACTTTCTTCCCGGTATAGATAATATCATTTGTTAAAAAAAATCAATTAGAATAAAGGGAGGGTATCATCGAGTTGGCACTATAATTTTTAAATGCACCTCTATACTCAAGTTCAAATTCTCGTTATAATTTAGACTAAATTAAACATGTCCCTTTGAATAAAAAAAAATTCATCCCCCTAAACAAACCTTTTGGCCTACTCAACCAACGAAACCGGATCCCCTCCTGAGCATGGGGTGGGGATCCTCCTGATCGGGTCATCTAGATCATTGAAATTTGATCTAACAACTACAAATAGAAGACCCTCTAAAAGTTATAATTATTGTAGCCGTTGGATCAAATTTTAATGGTCCAGATAATTAGATCAGAAGAATCCCCATCCCATACTTAGGAGAGGATCCGGTTCCTCAACCAACGTGCTAGATAGCATCATTAAGAGAGAATTTTTTGTTAACTTCAAACTAAATAAACAACCAAGAAATGAGTTATAAACTTATAAGAGTTGAGTTGGTAACGTAAGTTACGCAACACCAAAATTCAATGAAAAATAAAGAGAAACTGTACCCAGTGAGTACACAGATTGTCCTTTAAACGCACAAGTGTGTTACGTAACTTACGTTACTCGTTGTCTAATATTTTTTTATTAATCCTCTAAAAGGGGATTAGTTAATGGCTTTGTTCCGGTAATTAATTTTATTAGAGGCTAGAAAGACTCATAGGTGCTTTTTAATATCTCCTGACCATCGTTCTGTAATTTATCAATGTCAGAATCAAACTCAGGACTTGCTATGCGAAAAAAAAAGGATCTGAATTCGTCCTCAATCACCAACTAAATCCGTGATGATTTGTTGTCTAATGTCTATTGGGTTTTCCAGTCTTTCGCACAAATGCGCCTCCGCTAAAATACAAACCAGGACACTCCTCCTCTCAGAGTCGTATAACAGAGTAGGACCCCCCACCCTTTCTCTCTCTCTAGCCAATCAAAGTCCATTTTTAACTCGTATTCCACGACTCTCTTTCTCTTGGAACCGTCCCAGAAAACTCACTCACCCTTCATTTCCATTTCTCTCCAGTTTTGTGTCTTGTGTATAAGAGTTTCTTCTGGTCTATGTTCTTGGGTTCAATTCAATTAATCTCCCAAAAAGCTGAGAGCTTCTGAACTCAACCTGTCAAGCTCAAAAACTAAGGTGAGAACTTCTTTTTAATGTTGTTTTTATGTACTTTATTGGGTGCTTTTGTGTTGGATGATAGATTATGGTTGTTTCAGCTAATGGGGTTTTTGATCATTGAGGAAATATGTGAATTTTGGAGTTTGTAATTGAAGCTTGGTAAATATTTGAGATAATCCCTTCTGGGTTTTTATTATTTTTGGAATTTATAATCAGATAATTTTTGTGTGTGGATATATGACTATTTGTTCGTGATAAAGTTTTTATCTTTTTTTACCAATTACCATGATAATTGGTTCTTATCTCTTAGGTATCTGGGTCTCCAGTAATTTTTCATTTCCTCCAATTTTTTCCAAATCGGATGAAAAGTTTTGTATTTTCTCTGAGTATTTAGACTTTAGACAGAAGTTGACATGGTACTATTTCCTTCTGGATGGCAAATGATGTTTATTTGAGTTAATTGGTTTATGATCATGGAAGAAACTAAAGAAATTTGGTGTCCGGAGGTGAAGTTTTGTCAAGAAGGGAGGTGGGTTTTGTACAATTTCCTGAAATTTTAAGAAAAATCAGATTAAAAGTTTGAATATTTTCCTGTTTGTTTCTTGAGAAAGTTTAGCTGAACAAAGGGACATGGTATTACCATTTATCGTCCAACTTTAGCTGAACAGAGGGACATGGTATATACCATTTATGTCTGGATACCTTACTTTTCAAATATTTACGTTTTAGTACTCTCAATGAGCAGAACACGAAATTACTGCTCCGGGGAAAGTTAAAGGGAGGGATTTTGGATGATTCTGTATGTTCTTGTCCTCCTTTTTTGTTAGTAAGAAACTGGGGAGTTTGGTTGTTTGATACTCTCTGGAATTTTGTAAAAGTGGAGGGCTTTTTGTTGTTTGTTTCTCCTTTTCTTTTGTTTTCAGAATGTCTTGGTGTTACAGATCACATACTTAATAGCTAAAGCACTGAATATTTTTTGCCAGAATCTGCCTTTTGTTGAATACAAAGATTTAAGATTCTCATCACCCTTTTGATTATTTTTTTTATTTCTTTTAAATTATCAATTTTAAGGGACATACAAGATAAATCGTATAACTCCATTTTCCCTTGAACAGATTTATGTTCTGTTTGGTTGCCGAAATATCTGCTGGGAAAAAGTGACTGTAAATTTGTAGAAGGATAGTATCAGATTCCAGAAGACCACATGTGATTAGTTGTAATTATACTATGCAAATTGGGATTATCATTCGTTATTTTTTGTGATGCTCATTCAAACACCTGGTTTTTTAATGATTTCACTGTTCTATATATACGGGTTTTTTGGGATTCTCTTCCTATTAGTTTCGGCATTTGATATATTATCTGCAAACTTTAAGTTACTTTTTTGGTTCATTCTCAGGTACTTCGTTCGGTGTTACCAATTCCTTTAAGCACCTAGTTATATATCTTTCCGCAGTATTGCTTCAATTGTCAAAGTCCGATGAACCTCAAGTTAGGGGTGGAGGTTGTGGCTGCCCATGACCTTATGCCCAAAGATGGGCAGGGCGCAGCCAGTGCATTTGTGGAGCTCCACTTTGATCATCAGAGATTCCAAACCACTACGAAAGAAAAAGATCTCAATCCTGTTTGGAATGAGAGCTTCTACTTCAACATTTCTGATCCAAACAACCTCTCTAACCTCAGTCTTGAAGCCTGTATTTACCACCATGGTAAAGGCAACTCCAAATCTTTCCTCGGAAAGGTTTGTCTTACTGGGACATCATTTGTTCCATATTCTGATGCTGTTGTTTTGCACTACCCTCTGGAGAAGCGAGGCCTTTTTTCACGCATTAAAGGAGAGCTTGGTCTAAAAGTTTTTGTTACTGATGACCCGTCTATAAGATCCTCAAATCCACTTCCTGCACTGGATGCGTCTCTGGACAGAGATTCACACTCTGCACATGTTCAATCACAATCACAATCACAATCACAACAAGTTCCAAATGTTAACTCAAACATGTTGTCCAATGATAAAGCTGAGTCGAGACACACATTTCATCACCTTCCAAACCCCAACCTAGCACAGCAGCAGAATATTTCTTCAGCGTCAATGCAGCCATCAGTGAACTATGGGATGCAGGAAATGAGGTCTGAACCACAGTCTTCTAAAGTTGTTCGCAGTATGTACTCAGGTTCATCAGCTCAAGCGCCTGATTATTCCCTTAAAGAGACAAGCCCTTACCTTGGAGGGGGGCGAATTGTTGGAGGGCGAGTCATACCTGGAGACAGGCCATCTGGCACCTATGACCTTGTTGAAAAGATGCAATACCTGTTTGTACGAGTTGTGAAAGCCCGTGACCTTCCTCACAAGGATATAACAGGTAGCCTTGATCCATATGTTGAAGTAAGAGTTGGTAACTACAAGGGAACTACAAGGCATTTTGAGAAAAGACAGAACCCTGAATGGAATGAGGTATTTGCTTTTGCAAAGGACAATCAGCAATCATCTGTTTTGGACGTTGTAGTCAAAGACAAGAATCTTTTGAAAGATGATTTTGTTGGGTTAGTACGGTTTGATCTCCATGAAGTTCCTCATCGAGTTCCACCAGACAGCCCATTGGCTCCAGAATGGTATCGGCTCGCAGACAAGGATGGAAGGAAGGACAAAGGAGAACTGATGCTTGCAGTATGGTTTGGCACACAAGCTGATGAGGCATTTCCAGAGGCCTGGCATTCGGATGCAATTGGTCCTGACGATGGTTCTTCGGTTGCTTATGGACACATCCGTTCAAAAGTTTACCATTCACCTAGACTATGGTATGTTCGAGTAAATGTGATTGAGGCACAGGACTTGGTTCTACACGACAGGTCCCGCTTCCCAGATGCATATGCAAAAGTACAGATTGGTAATCAGGTTTTAAAGACAAAACCAGTTCAATCTCGAGCTATGAACCCAATGTGGAACGAGGACCTGATGTTTGTTGCTGCTGAACCCTTTGACGATCATCTGATCGTTTCAGTTGAAGATCGTGTAGGTCCAAGCAAAGATGAGACCTTAGGAAGGGTAGTTATACCATTGAACGCTATTGAGAGGCGTGCAGATGATCGATTAATCCGTGGCCGGTGGTTTAACCTTGAAAAGCACATGTCAGATGCCATGGAGGGGGAGCAACGGAAGAAAGATAAAGATAAGTTTTCCAGTAGAATCCATCTCCGTGTTTGCCTTGATGGAGGGTACCATGTGCTTGATGAGTCAACTCACTACAGCAGTGACCTTCGACCCACAGCTAAGCAGCTATGGAAGTCACATATTGGTGTGTTGGAGCTCGGAATTCTAAATGCTGAAGGGTTGCACCCAATGAAAACAAGGGATGGGAAGGGTATGTCAGACACATATTGTGTAGCAAAGTATGGGCACAAATGGGTTCGTACTCGAACCATAAATAACAGCCTAAGCCCAAAATACAATGAGCAGTACACATGGGAGGTATATGATCCTGCCACAGTTCTTACTGTTGGGGTTTTTGATAACAGTCAGATTGGTAATATAAATGGCAGCAGTAGGGATTTGAAAATTGGCAAGGTCCGGATTCGAATCTCTACCCTTGAGACTGGCCGTGTCTACACACACAATTACCCATTACTAGTCCTTCATCCTTCAGGTGTCAAAAAGATGGGTGAATTGCATCTTGCAATTAGATTTACGTGCACTTCATTCGTTAACATGATGTTTAAATACTCTAAACCACTTTTGCCAAAGATGCATTATGCAAGGCCATTGACTATGATTCAGCAAGATATGTTACGTCACCAAGCTGTCAACATAGTTGCAGCTCGTCTTAGTCGGGCAGAACCACCTCTTAGGAAGGAAGTAGTTGAATACATGTCTGATGCAGACTCTCATCTTTGGAGCATGAGGCGAAGCAAGGCAAACTTTTTCAGACTGATGTCAGTTTTTTCAGGGTTGTTTGCTGTTGCAAAATGGTTCGGAGAAGTCTGCGCTTGGAAGAACCCCATCACTACCGTGCTAGTACATGTTCTTTTCGTGATGCTTGTGTGCTTCCCTGAATTGATTTTGCCAACTGTTTTCCTATACATGTTTCTGATAGGGATTTGGAACTGGAGGTACCGCCCAAGGTACCCTCCTCATATGAACACAAGGATCTCATATGCAGATGCTGTGCACCCTGACGAGCTTGATGAAGAATTTGACACATTCCCCACAACGCGGAGTTCAGATATAGTTCGAATGAGGTATGATCGCTTGAGGAGTGTTGCTGGAAGGATTCAAACTGTGGTGGGAGATGTTGCAACCCAAGGGGAGCGGCTTCAGGCACTTCTCAATTGGCGCGATCCTCGTGCCACTACTTTATATATTACCTTCTGTCTTGTGGCTTCTATTGTGTTGTATGTGACACCTTTCCAGGTTCTGGTTCTTCTTGGTGGCGTTTACCTCATGAGGCACCCGAGGTTCAGGGGTAAGATGCCATCAGCCCCGGTTAACTTCTTTAGAAGGCTGCCAGCAAGGACAGATAGTATGTTGTAAAAGGTCTACTCAGATGTGGTAAAGTTTGTCCTGCCAGTGTCTCTGATTTTTTATTTTCATGGCGGTACTTGTAAATTGTAACGCGTATCCGCTGGTGTTCTGTTTATTGTTTATTGTCAATCATGGAAGTGCACAGATGTATGCAAACTGTTGTGATCCCGGTTAGTGCTACTCCTATTGATGTACTGTTCTGCATTTTCAAGCATCTATAAATATGGTTGAATCATACCTCTTACTTTGTCAAAGCTATTCAAGAAACTTGACTTGCAAAGATTGATGAACTGGTAAAGCAGCATCAGTGATTTCCAGTCATTTTTCTTTCCGACATAAGTTTAATATGCAATCAATTTGAACTGTTGTTTTGCCGAGATATGTCATTATCTTGGTTGCATTGTTGTCCTGGAGCCGGAGGACGCTTTTTTCCCGTTATATTGCCACTGGGATTGCACATATGAGCTTCGATGCTCGTTCAATCTTCCATCTTTTTCCCGTTATATTGCACCTGCATAAATCTGATCATGATCTTCTTCTTCAATCTTCCTTCTTTTGCTTTGGTAATATCGGTGTTTTAAAAACCTTGCCTACGCCTTCGCCTTTAAAAACATTGGGTAAAATATAGAGAAAATGAAATGCCTGAAACAACTGTTTTTTATATGTCAAATTGTGACATTGTTTGTAGTCTTCTCTGGAGAGAGGGTATACTGCTTCAAATACATGGTGTTTTGTAATACAAGAAGTGAGGTAAACGAATAAACGCGCAATCTGATTATCGACAGAGATCAAGTAATGAAAGTTGAAAAGCTTCCATTTGTTTTTTGGTGAATTGTCAATTTAGTATTTGAATTATCACCTAAGTGAAAATTAGGTCCCTAAACTATAACGACCCATCCCGAATTTTACGAATTTCAGAATGTCGAGGGTAAATTAGTAATTTCACATCGGGAGATATTTTTATGTTTGTCTTTTTTTGGGCTTGTTTGATGTGCCAATGGGGCCCACCCTTGCTTTTTGGTCTTCCGGCTCTCTCTCTTCCCTCTCCCCTTGACACTCTTCTCTTCCTTTCTCTCCCTCCCATCTCTTTGCATCTCTCTCTCCTAGCTCACACAACAACAACGGCAACACCCCCCCACCACAACTCATGCCGGCGAACCACCACCCTCACCACCATCTAAACCTTGTCGTTGTAAACCCAGGCCAAGGTCCTGAAAACTCGACAGTGGCAGAGGCCATTGCCCCCGACAAACCCACGACGAGTTCTTGTCATTCTCAATGAAGGTAAACCTCGAAAACTTAGTAGATCTCGTTTTGGTGAACGTTTAGGGTAGTTTGAGATGTGGTGGCTTTTGGATGCAGGAAAACCCTTGGGGAAAGTGTCCCCAGTTTTTGGCAAGGGAACTCTTTTTGCAAGCATTTTTCGGCCAACTCCAGCCATGATTTGGTCCTAAATTGGTACGAACCTCTTCCCCTCGTGTCAAGCTTCATTGTGGCTTTTGTTTCATCGAAAATGGTGGAGAAATGAGCTCGAATGGAGCTCTGGAAGTTGAGCCGAGAAACCGGCCAAACTCATGCCTCGTAAGGAAAGCGAGTACGCATGTATTCACGGGTGCATGAGGTTGCGCATTGGGCTGATGTGCTCAGCGCGTGGCTTCCCGAGCCGCCGCCCCGTTACGGCGCATAGAGGAACCCGATGTTCCTTCTTAGGTTTTTCAAAGTGCCGAATCCGAATCCGCCATCCATTTTCCCAAATTCAATCATTTTAGTAGGGTTTTACTTATTATTCCCTTTTATGTGCTTAGGTGCATTTGTTAGTGGTGATCCCGTCCTCTCTAGTTTGCATGGCTCTTCGGCGATGAAGTATCTGTGAGTGGACCCTTTCTCAAATTGCATGTTTTTATATAAATGCTAGGCTTGCATTCATGAAAAGCATGATTTCATGATTTATTTATGATTTATTGAACTTATATTTTATGAATATGGTTTACGAACTATTGCTTTTATGCCCTACAAAATATTACAGATTTGTGAATATAATTTATTATGGTTTATGAATTAATGCTTTGAGCTTTTGAGCTCCGGTGATTTGATACGAGAAATGTAATTTATGTTTTCCGTGCTTACTTAGTGGGTAATCATACAACACATACACACAACATGAGTTTGTATTTGTATATGGCTATAGGACACAGTTGAGGAGCAGTGAGATATTTATGACATACTCACAGCTTCATTGGCGAAACCAATGCCAAGCAACTTCACTAGCCACGGCTAGTGTCGGTGTGTTATGTATATATTTCTTCCTTGGCGTAACCCAGAGTTGTACAGCTTCACCTTTGGGTGATGGGACCTACCATATTTCTTCATTGGCGTAACCCAATGTCGAACTGCTTCACCCTTGGGTGATGGTTATGCCTTTGGGCTACTATGATACCCCTATTTAAGTATATTGTTTTATGATTTACGAGCTTTGTTATGGATTTGCCTTTGGGCGTTCACAATACCACTTTTAGATATGATTTTATTATCTACAAACATTTTCGTGGCATGTAGAGTTTCAAGAAAAACCTATTACATAGTATTATATGTGTATTCAAAACAGGGGATTAGTATGTTCAAAAGAAAAAATGATTTTACTTAGTATTGTTATTATAAACTTTGGTCCACTTATGCTTTGTTTTGCATCCCTTTCAAGACTTAGAATCGAGACGTATGATCCAGCGTTGAGGCGTTCCCATATCGGTACCTTCAAGTCCTCTCGGTGTAGGACCCCCGCTTTCTTTGTAGTCTCATTGTTATATATAGTTGTTTTGTAGTATTCTTAATTAGTGGTATGCTTTGTACATGTTCCCACATCCGCATATTTCATTATATTTAAATTTACTTATTTTATTTACGTTCATTCTTTCTTTATAACTTGCATGCATGTTAAAATGGCTTCATCACCTCGAGTGTCGGCCAACACATGCTCATCTTGGTGTTTGAGGGATATCGGGACCGAGGTGTGTCATAAAATATTTCTTCAAAAAAATCTGTCATTGAATCATAAAAATCTACCAATTACATCCCTAATATTATATTCGAAGCTACTATTATTTTCTGTCAATTTAAATCACGTTATTTGCATGTGATATACATTAGAGGATAGATTGGTATTTTTTCATATAAAAAAATAGTATATGGAGTTAACTTTAGAGGGTAAATTAGAAGTTAGATTCGCAACCTATATGAAATGTTTGGGCTTATAGGTGAGAAAAGAACAATATTACACTCTAAAGTGTGTCAAGTGATTTCAGTTGATGGAAATTGGATCAAATAGTTTTAAATATAATAGTAGGGATTTAAATTTTTAATGAATTTAGGGACTTATTTTACCCAAAAAATAATTCAGGAACTGAATTTTTACAAAGGTGATAGCACAGGGACTAAATCGGCACCATATGTGTGAGACAATGGTCTTGGTTGATTCAAAAATACCAAATCCATCAATTAAAGAAATTGCTAGAAAGAATATCCTTTCAGAGTTTGAAAGGGCCAATTGAACTTAGAACTACTATTGATGCAAAATGAGTCCATAAGATTTATGGAGAAGCTACTTGTAGGAGGAGATTTAAATGGACATGTGGGCAAGAAAACATGCAACGATAGAAGTTTCTATGGTGGCTATGGTTCTGAGGAGAGAAACAAGGGGGAAGTCATTTTGGATTTGCAATGGCATACGATCTCTTTCTAGCCAATACCTACTTTTAGAAGAAAGAGGAGCATGTGATAGCTCAAAAACCTTTTCGATACAATTCTGAAAACGAAGAAGATGTCAAATGAGTGTCAAAAAATCACTTGGGGCCTATATACAAGATTAAGGGAACGTACAAAATTGCACAAACTATAGGGGTATCTAGTTAATAAGTCATACAATGAAGCCTTTGGAGAGAGCAATTAAGCATAGACTGAGACAAGAGACACGAGTCTCAAACAATCAATTGGGGTTCATACCAAGCCACTCATCTATGGAGGCAATCTATCTCTTATGAAGATAAATGAAAATATGTAGAGATGTGCAAAAGGATTTGCACATTCTCTTTATAGATTTGGAAAAAGCATATGATAGGATCCTAAGAGAAATTCTTTGGAGGATTCTAAAGAACAAATGAGTAAGAGTAGCATATATCCAAGCAATAAATGATACGTATGATGGAGCAAGGACTCCAGTAAAAATTCATAAAGGACAAACTGAAAGCTTTCCCATAAGCATATACCAAGGCTCAGCTTTAAGCCCTTACCTTGTTGCATTGGTAATTGATAAGTTAACAGGATATATTCAAGAGGATATCCTTGGTGTATGCTTGTCGCATATGATATAGTGCTGATAGATGAAAAAGAGGAAGGAGTAAATGTGAAGCTTAACCTTTGCGGGAAGTGTTGAAAACTAATTGTCTTCATCTAAGTAGGTCAAAGGCAGAGTATATGGAGTGCAAGTTCAGTGAGATGATGGGTCTAAATGAGATAAGGGTGAGGATTGGAGATCATGAAGTACCAAAAAGTGAACGCTTTCATTTTCTTGGATTTATCTTACAAAAGATCTGAGAATTGAGAGGAGATATCAACCATAGAATACAAGTTGGACGGATGAAGTGGTAGAGTGCATAGGTTGTATTGTGCAATCGTCGTATGTCACTAAAACTTAAGGAAATTTTTTATAGGACAATAATAAGGTCATCAATGCTTTACGACAATAAGCTATAACCTATATCATTAACACATTGCCATGATGGATCCTAACTGCATCACAACCACATATCAATCAAAACCACAATCACCTCGTGCTAACATAATCATTATCACCATATTTTAAAATGAGGCTAAATTTGTAGACAAAATTTTGAAAACTAAACGACATGGAAGTTGATGATTGATTTATTACTTAAGCGTTGATAAATGTGTTCAATTTTATTGGTGACACATCATTTAGTTTACAAATTTTGTCTTCAAATTTAGTCTTCCAACATTACTCTATCTTAAATGGATAATAGCAATTCAATATTCCAATACCAACTTGATGGAAATGCTCGGAGGATTTGCTTACAAAGCGATTCCTTCCGGACTTTCTAGCCACTTACACCTCTCTCAAATGAGTCAATACAGCATATGGGTCCCATCATTAAAATTAATAAAAAGCTAAAAATAAAAAATTAGGCTTATTAGTTGAAATGCCCATTGAAAATACCATTGAGTCTCAGTTTATCCCATGAAACTAGTTGTGTCTCACTTTGCCCCTTGAAACTGATATTTTCAACTATTTTGTCTCACTTTACCCACTTCCATTAATGGATTGTTGAAAATGTCAATTTCAGAGAGGAAAGTGAGGCAAAATCAGTTTCAGAGGGTAAACTGAGACTTAATGGCAGTTTCAGGGGACATTTCGACTAATAAGCCTAAGTTTGAATTTTTAGCCTCGATGAGACAAAAAGTTAAAAATGTCAGTTTTAAGGGGCAAAATGAGATAAAATCAGTTTCGAAGGGTAAACTGAAACTCAATGGCAGTTTCATTAGGCATTTCGACTAATAAGCCTAAAACTTATATCCTTTCTCTCTCCGTCTTTTCATCAGTTTCAGAGGGTAAACTAAAACTCAATGACAGTTTCATTAGGCATTTCGACAAATAAGCCTAAAACTTATATCCTTTCTCTCTCTGTCTTTTCGTCTGCAGATGGGTCCCACCGAACTCCATCCTCCGTCTTCCATCTTCACGGTTGCTCCCAAATCATCTCAGCTTTACTGCCAAACCCATCTAAAAACCCAGTTACCAAAAAAAAAAAAACCATCTAAAAACCCCATTTAGTAGGGAAGAAATGTGGGTGCTTTGCCTATGGAGATTCAATATAGTCTTTGGGTATGATTTGATTTGCGTGCTTGATGGGAAATTAGAAAATGCAAGTTAAGGTAGAAATTGAAATTGAAGGATACAAATATTTCGAATTCAAATTGCTCAAATTCTTCTTCCTAAATTTTTGTCATCAATTTCCCATTTCCACTTGAAGTACACAAGTTTCAGATCTTGTTTTATTTTTTCTGTTTACAGATTCAAAATGTGGATTTTCTCGAGTATTTTTCAATGGATATTTAGAACTTTGTAGCCATGCTAAGAGAGAGAGAACAACTGTAAATTCTGGAGAAAAAAGTACAGTGGCTTCTGGGTTTCATCGAAGAGGAGAGAGGTGGGGATGAGCCAGGCCGTTGGGGTTTGGACGACAGAAAGGAAATAGCAGAAGGTGAGGAAGAGAGTGTTTTAAGAGTGCGTTTGTTGCACCGAACTATTTCGAACTGGACTAACTTTAGGATTAAACTGAACTAACTTAGAATAAGCGTTTGGTGCATTGTTGGACTAAGAAACTGGATAATGAAAAAAAAAAAACCCATGCTATATCAACTACCATCAAAATTTCAACCAAATTTGACCTTATCATGCCTGACTCCAACAATTTTCATCATAATATATTTATCCAACACTCCCTATGAATGCCCATTTTGAGCTTTTCTGCAATAGGAGCATTCCAAGTAATTTCTTAACAAATAAACACAACTATCAACATTCCAAATTCCAAATTCAAACAACATATGACACTTATATCTCAGTTTCAAATTCTGCACAAATAAAAATACACAGAACAATTATGCAAGCAACATCAATTGACTATACTTTCCTCGAAGCCTAAAAAACTTGACTCCACAAAAAATTATTCAAACCCAGTCATAATCACAATCACAATAATTTAACTCAAAATTCAGCCTCATTCGCACTTAGCAAGCCTCAGCCAAACTTAGCCCCAGTTCTCTTGGACATTTCATCAAAAACCTCCTGGGCACTTTTCAAATCACCCTTTTGCACATACCCATTGATCAATTGAATTCACAATCAGCAAATGACTATATTTTCATTCCTTTGGTAATGAATTTCTTTCTCATTGGTCATGAATTCCCAATCATACCACAACGAAATCAAATTCAAGTGGAGAAATTGAAAACTGTAAGCTAAAAAAGGAGAAGCTCTCACCATTTTTCAGCAACGGTGATGATCTTGGTGAGCTCGTACTGGTTTAGAGACGATGGGGAATGAAAGTGAGGATTTAGCGGCGGTGGATTTGGAAGGGCTGAGATTGCTCCATGAATGCTCAAGAGTCGTGGGCTGAGATTGTGGTGGAGGATTGTGCAGCTAATATGTGGTGCTCGAAAGCCACAACCATGGCGATTTTGCTGAGAGAGAGAGAGAGAGAGAGAGAGAGAGTGTGTGTGTGTGTGTGAATTGAACAAAGAAGAAATGAAGGGAGTTGGTGGATTGTTTTTCAGTTTTTGTTTGAGGTCTGGATTTAGGCTTTTGGGTGGGATAGTGAAGGCCCAAGGGAGCAGGCAAAGGTGTGAAGGAGAAGGGAGAGGGCGAAAGGACGAAGAAGAAAGGAGACGACGAGGGATCAGCGACATGGGAGAGAACGGGACTAGCAATCCGCTCGAAATCAAGGGGCCTCGATAAGAACGTTTAGCAAAACATTCAGTCTGGGTGAGTCCCCATTAGTCTCATTAAAACTAGTCCAGTGTGGACAACAAACACTGGATTGGACAAACACTTAATCTAGTCTAGTCCAATAACTCCTAAGAAGGTCAAACAAACACGCCCTAAATGTCAAGATAATTCCCTTTTTTTGGGTCAAAAAATAGAGTTTATTAGATGAGATGTTAGATTGGCCACCTATGATATTTGAATCCACGCCGTCATGTAAGAGCTCACCACATTTTTATCACTATGGTAAAGGGCCACTTGTGTCAAGATAATTCATTATTAAAACATAATTATTATGATTAAAAACCATAATATTATCCCTTAATAATAAAAAAATTATCCTAATATTTTTCATCTAACTGTCTAGAACTCTGCTCACTCAACAGCCTTGATGGCTTGGGCCGATAGCCTTCAAATCGGGACCTGGGAAGACTTGCAAAAGAGACTTTAAGAAAAGATATGGAGTATTTGGAGCTAACAGAACATTTGGGGCAAAATCAAGCCCAGTGGCGTTGTGGGATTCATACAGCTGATCCGACTCAGTGGAATAAGGCTTTGTTGTTGTTGTTAATGTCTTGTTGTAATGCAAACGTTTAATGTTAATGTCACGTTAATGATTATATTGTCATACTGTCAAATTAAAAATGATTGGTTATTTGGACTACAGTCTAAATGCAGAGTGCACTGAATTGACAACTTTTTGAATACAACGATATGTTTTACACTAAGGGGAAGGGGAGTTCGGAAGCTACACAATGGGCAACCTAATTTGGTATCTACTGAATTGACAGCTTAACAACATAACATATCATTCACACTATTGAAAAAACGACATAGCAAATATATGACAGAAAAAAACATTACTCATTTCACTAATTCAAGTAACTTTATCCACCAACAACTTGGAAATAGGAAAGAAGAAATAAGAGAGAATAACATAGTACAACATTTTGTAGAGCTTCACACTCTTTAACACAGTAGCACTATGAGGCATGAGCTAGCCCAACAAAAGCATTGAACCTAGCTTTGACACTAATTTTTATTGGAAAATGGAGGAAACCACTCACTTAGGCATCAGACCAGAATATATCCATAAAACCCCGCCTGGGGTCACTTTCTGACACCCCCAAGGCCTTCCAAACAGCTTTAGAGGCATCAACAATATTGTTAGGACACGGAGGCTGGTAATCGTGCTCGGCATCACATCCCATGGTGGAGTCACACTCGTCGACAACCATCGCTTTGACGCTCCTTCCATTACCATGGATGGTAATGTGGCCGAAACACCGTCTCCTTTTGTCGAACCACCCCGTTGACAATGCCACAATAGGGGTATTATCCGAGTGGTACTTATTGTCACATGCTGATGGACCGCCGCCATCACCACCCTTTTGAAAGCTGTTGATGGTCAAGGTTGCTTTCGTATGCTTAGACACCTGCGGCGAGCACTTGAAGATGGGGTAAAGCTGACCATTTTTGCAGCACTCGGAGTCATTCCCTTTGTTACATTGTCCTCGAGGAGGCTTTTTCCCCCTAAGCTTGCCACTAGGTTTGCATTTTTGAGCGTCAATGCTCAACCAGTTCGTAGCAAGGATGATCAAGATGAAGAGAAAAGCACCTGAATAAATCTTGTTTTTCATCTTCTTTCTTCTTCCTGCTTTGGTTTATGCTGGTTTGAAGAAGTCGGATCCTTTAGCTGGCTATATATATAGGACATGCATGCAGTACTGTTGTTTGTTTTTTCTTTGGATACCTTGAAGTGTTTGAAACAGCTGGGATTTTAATGTTAAATTATACATTGTTTGAACTCTTTGTAGAGTACAGTCTACTGTTTCTTAAACATACCGATCGGTATACAAATACAATTGATGAGGTATATGAACTAAAAATAATCACAAACGTACAATATGAATATCTGCAGACAGTAGCTAGACTGTCAAAAGCTTTCTAAAGAATATCACCACATCTAAGTATTAAGTATCACTTTTGTATTTTGTGTTATTTCGTTCGGTATCCAAGCTGTGTGAGATGAGGGTTTGGCTGATTCCAGTACTTATTAGGATTCATCGATGTGAAATACTAAAAGATCCATCAATATAATAATAATAATAATAATAATAACAACAACAACAACAACTAGAAAGGAAAGGCTTGCGTACTGCAATATTAAACAGACAAATTGAAGATCGAGGCTTGCGTACTGCAATATCCTTAAACAGAAATTTCGTCCCTACTTAGTGCTTGTAGTTCTACAGATGTCTGCTTCACCAAGATTAAACGATCTAAATCAGAATTCCAGCACCGGCAAACTTGACTTTTGGCAAATTTCTTTGTGGTTCTCTCAGTAAGAATGTTTGGGATTGTAGAAGAAGAATTTTTAATTTTTCTATGTTCTAAATGCCATACAGATGAATGTACATATAATATGTTTATTCCCATTCGCAACATATATGAGAATGTGATGCGTCTCTTTGGAGACATCTTCTTAGAGGGGTGCTTTGCTCTCTGGTGTTCTTTCATCACTTCAGACTTCATTTGAAAATATGAGTCTGTTGATATAAAAAATAATGAATTAATTAAATCCGAAATTAATTAAAAATAATTAATTAAATAATTTAATTATTTGAGCCTGAGCCCTAAGGCCCATCTTTTTTTTTATCAATTAATTAGTACACCTAAAAACCTATCCCTAAGATTGAACCCAATTTTATTCTTCATGGTCCATCACTTCAACCACTTTCTTTAAGGGACAAAGCCTTATAAAGTGAGGGAATCTTTTGGTAATGACAATGTGGGACAATGAAATTTCTACTCAAAATTTACAATATCTCTTAGAGAGTGGATTTTGAGTTTTTTTTTTTTTTTTTCCCTTCTTCTTGAACCAGCTCTGCGACAGTGCCAGAAATTTGTACACCTTAACAATTGGGCGTTTGTACAAGGAAGGGAGTGATATTCCAGGGAATGGTTATGTTCCCTCTGTTATGTTTAGGCTATGCTGCTCATCAATTAAACTTTGCATGCTTACTACGAAATGAAAGTGGTTAGGCTATTAAGACACCTATTGTCTTCTTCTTCTTCTTCCAAAAAAAAAAAAAAAAAAAAAAAAAAAAGAAAGAAAGACACCTATTGTCATTTCTTGCGCACACACATACTTAGATGGTTCATCAATAAGAAAATACTAAGAGATAAATCAATAAAAATTATTGGAAAGATTGTTAGCTTGAAATGCCTGTCCACATCCAAGGCAGCGATAAAATTTGTTAGCTTAGGCCATCTCCAACCGAAGGGTTCAGAGGGCCGAAAATAGCCTAAAACCGTCTCCAACCGAGGGCTAGGCCAGAGGGCTCTGGAATCTGGGAGGGCCCCACGGGATCGGAGAGGGCTGGAGGGCTGGAGTGCTGGCTGCTTTCGGCCAGCCAGCCAGCCCCGGGCTGGCCTATTTTTTTTTTAATGTTTTCTATTGCTGTCGGTTAAAACCGACAGCATTAAACAGGTTTTTTTTTTTTTTAATAGTTCTACTATTAGTGTCGGTTATAACCGACACTAATAGTTTGAATGTTTTTTAATACAACGGCTAGTAGCCGTTGTATTATTAGGCCTTTTTTTTTTTTTTAAACTTTTTTTTTTCCCTTTTTTTTTTCCTTTTCATATTAATCAAATTTTGTTTCATATTTTTTTTCAATTCTATTTTACAAAATTTGTTTAAATTTTTTTTTAAATTCTATTTTTTTTCCTATAACTTCTATTTTACAAAATTTGATTCATATTTTATTTCCTATAACTTCTATTTCACAAAATTTGTTTCATAATTTTTTTCAATTCTATTTTTTTCCTAGGCCATTTATACAACATTAAATTAAATTAAGTAACATGAAACAACATTAAACAATATGAAATAACATTAAATAACATTAACCAACATACAAATTATACAACATAAAAAAACATTTAACAACATGAAACTTAAACAACATTTTTAAAAACATTTAACAACATTTAACATCATGTTGACGTCACCTAGCCGTTAGATTTGAATTTAAATTGTAGTTTTTAAATAATAAATTATGTTTGGCCCTATGGCCCTTTGGCCCTCGGTTGGAGACGGTTTTTTGTGACAGGGCTAAAATGAGCCCTCTGGCCCTCTGGCCCTCTGGCCCTCGGTTGGAGACGGAGGCAAATATGGCCCTGTACTGTTCATTAAAATATTAATATCTTGGAGAATCTTGGAGGGCCAGAGGGCTAAAACGAGCCATCTGGCCAGCCATCGGTTGAAGATGGCCTTATTATACGTTGTGGGCTCATTTCTCTCCACCTAGTTTATTTAAATGCAAGTGTGCACAATTCCTTTAGCCTATGCTGAAATCCTTATTTCAGTGGGTAAATGTAGGGCTGGTTCTGTATCCCATACCAAACCAAAAATGGCATATCAAATCCTGAACCGAAAAATTTCGGGACGTAAATCTCATGACCGATCCCGAACTGAAATTTCGGGATTCCCAAAATATTTTCGGTATTTCGGAATTTCCCGAAACCGAACATCATCAGAATCCAAATCGTCTTAGATTAATATTGAAATCATCTGAACCTGCATTAAAAATCCAAATTGAAATCAGAGACATAGTGATAGTGAATCAGTGAAAGATTTATGGTCGAGAAAGAAGCAGAGTGAAGAGAGGGACCTCCTCCTGACCCGAGCCCCCAATTCGAAACCCTAAGCCCCAATTCAAAACCCTAACCTCAATTCGAAATCCCACACACACAGAGAATCACTGGAGAGAATCGGAGGTGGGGATGAAGCCATGAGGTGTGGTGGTGGCCGGAGTGGAGATAGTTCGTCGGAGTCAGATTGCTAGACGGTGGGTGGCTGCTAAGCTTCAAATCCGAGAAAGAGAGGGAGAGTCTGAGACTGAGTGAAGGAAGATGAAAGGCGAAATGAAATGAGAGAGAGTGAGTAGGGATGTTTGGCTTGGTTTTGGATTGGGTGGAATGAAAGGTTAGGTGGTTTCTGGGTTGTAGAGAGAGAGAGAGAGAGAGAATACGAGAGAGATGAGACAGAAAAAATGAGAGGGATAAAGGATTAGGTAGGTTATGAGTTGTAGAGAGAGACGAGACAAAAATTAAGAGAGAGATGAAGGGTTAGGTTATGGGTTGTAGAGAGAGGGAGTCTGGGAGATAATCAAGAAGAGGGATGACTGATGAGACAGAAAATAGGGAAGAGAAGAAAGCAAGCACCCTTGCCTTGCGTGACCCATCCCTTCCCATGTGCTTGATGCAACATTTGTCAGCACCACACCACACACACACTGACACATATACATATATATAATATACACACACACACAGACACATATACATATATATACACACACACACACATTCCAACACACACTGACACATATACATATATATAATATACACACACACACACCGACACATATACATATATATACACACACACACACATTCCAACACACACACACAGACGCACACAGACACATGCACACACACACATATATATATAATATACCTAATATAATATTAATAAAATTCGGTTCGGGATCGGGAATACTGAACATTTCAAATTGTAAGACCGAATCCCATACCGAACAATTCGGGATCGGTTCGGTTTCGGTACTAAAATTTTCGGGATTTTTGGTTCGGTATTTTTTCGGTTTGGTTTCGGTATGGTTCGGGATTTTCGGTATTTTTTTCCAGCCCTAGGTAAATGAGGCACCAAGATATCGATTCTGCTATATATGCTGATTATTTGAGGGCTTCTAAGCATATGATAACATCATAATTTAGACAAAAATAATTTAAATTTAAACTCATGACATAGTTGTGGGGTGATTTTTCTGATTGATCACTAATTTGAACTCTTGAAGTGTTTTTCAATAAAACTCATAGTTGAGGGCGATTTTTCAAATTCACTAATTATTTTGTTTAGAGTAAGTCCACCCCTAAAGACTTTGCGCCAGCATCCAGCGCATTTATCCACTCAAGTGAACAGTAATAGACCTCAATGAACGGTAATAGGCCAATGCATCTCCACCCCTAAAACTAAATAGCCTAGTCAATTTTATTAAAATATTATTAATTTTTATTATAAAATAATAATTTGATTTATTAAAATATTATCAATTTTATTAAGGAACTCTTCTGGAACCTCCCTCAAAACCTCACCATTTCGCTTCGCACCCCTGGAACCTCCCTCTGCATCTCTCTCTCCCTCTCTCTCTCTACCCATTCGTATTTAAGGAACTCTTCCAGTCTTCCCCCACAGAAAAATGAAACATCGCAGCTTTCTATTGGAAGGTGGCCTTTTTCTATCCAAATTTTCAGAAAATTAATTTCTTGAGCTCGGTATTGCAAATTGTGATATGGGTTTTTCTTGGTTTGCCGTTGCTTTCTGGGTTTGTTTATGTGTTGTTCTGTTATGCTGTAGCTCGGAATTGGAGGTTGTCACTAGGAAAAAACCCAACGAAATTGTTCTCCAGCTTGGCCCCAATCAGATCATCGAGGACGATTTCCGCGTGAAAGGCACGCGCCAGGCAAATATCCCGGCTTCTTGGTCAGTCAATTTTGGACTGGCCTAGAGACCAGCTTGGGCTGAGTGCCAGGCAAGTTGCTGGGCTGGAGTGAATTGACAAGGTGCCAGCCTGGTTTTTTTGACTGGGTGCTGGGCTATTCCACCTCCGGTGGAACTCCTCTTATGATAAATCAGTATAAAATTCATGACGGCCAATAGTTCCTTTCACATGTGCCATCTCCCCCGTGAAAAGCCATATACGATTTTAAACTTCCATCTGAAGGTGACATTTTGCCATATATGTCTTCTTACTGTGCTTCGTTTTGTTTACAACTGAATCATATGGCAGTGGGAGTGCTGAACCTGCCGATGGCGAGAAGCCATGACAAACATATGAAAGTTGAAACAATAAAATCCAAGTTTCCTTAGTTGGAATAAGCAAACAAGTAGTCAATTTTAGGGGACACACAATGCGATTCTGACATACGATTTTAACTTTTCAACAGCATAGTGGTTTTGATTGGTAGAATGTTAACGGCGACTAATTATATATAGGGGTGGGCATAAAAAC